CAAATACTTCCTCTTTTTTTGGAGTCATTTTCTTTTCAACCTCCTGATTATGATACACTTCTTGGAGGAATGGCCCCTCAGGATGCCATCCCAACCTAAGTGGAATCGGCTCCACTTCTTCGGATTCCCTGTAGTGACTTGTACTTTCCGATAACTCCTGTTGCTGAATCGTCGCAAAATGCTTTTCAAGAAGATACCTTTCAAATTGGTTGGCGCTTCTGAATTGTTCGCACCCTTTCTCGCAGTCTCTCCACCTCGTTCATAGCTTCTATAATTGAAATCGCTTTCAACATGGCTTCATGCCTCTCCTCTAGTCCCCTTTCGACCTCCTGCTGCTTTTTTTCATATTGCGACTGATCTATTTCGTCTCCAACTACCATCCGCTCGATTTCCTCTATTTTTTGATCCATCGCGATGATATCTTTCTCAAGTTCATCCTTCAATCCGCTCCAGACCTCCATAAACATTTCCATTTTGTCTCCAAAATCCATTCGCTGATCCACGTCTTCCGCTTCATCCATTTCCATAATGGCTCTTTTCTTCTAAAGCAACAAAATTATGGGGTGTTGAACAAATGTTCGTTACAAAATTACAACACAAAACAAAGTCTAGGAATTAGGCCTGAAATCGATTATCTTTCTAGAGAATGCCCGCGGTATCGGAATGGCTGTTTGAAGTCTACACCCTCCAGCATTCCTTAGCGCTAATCTCAAATCTGCTCTCAAAATCTGCCGAGCTTCCCTCTGAAGGGGCTTTATGAAGCCTTTTTAACAAGGTTGTCTTGCTAAGGCACGGGCGCGTCGATGCCAAGGTCTGTCGCGCCCCCACAATCATTCCTTGCCAAAATCGTGTCATCTTCGTGTTCAGGGGCTCAAATTACTCCTGACAGCGAGTTCCCACTTCTTTCTGAATGTTTCGAAGAACGTGAATGAATGTTCGTGGGTGGTGTTGGCTCCAGCCAACAGTACTGGGGCTATCCTAGCATGGAGACCTCAATCTTGGGACTAATTTAGCAGTAATCCACGTATCTGGAAAAGAAAACAGTATCTTAGGTGGGTGGGTCCGCAGCTGCAGTAGCGTACCCCTTTCTCCGCTCAGAAGTGAACGGGAATGGGGCTGTAGGGTAGTGGTACTCCTATTCCACCTCCGTACTTCGCCCGAGCTATCCTCAAGGTGCCGCATTTGTGTCGAACCAAGGTCCCGCAGCGGAAGACGTACTCAGCGGTAGAAAACAATAACAAGTGAGAAAGCGCAAACAAGTAATGCTATGGTTGGGCTTGTAGCAAGCAAGTAATGCTATGGTTGGGCTTGTAGCAAGCAAGTAATGCTATGGTTGGGCTTGTAGCAAGCCGTGCAGTAACAAGGCCAGAGCATGGAGACGGCACGGGGTATCATTACCATGCACTTTGACTGGAGAAAGTGGCAAGCTACGGTAGCTCCGGACCCATTCTCCCACACACGGCAAGGAATATGAACGACAGTCTTCAGTGTACAGAATGTCTAAGACATCTAGTTACCACTTGCTTCTGGAGTATTTTGAGCTCTTGAACACGTCGTTTATCGCAAAAGTAATAGTGGCGTGAACTACATGCTCTAACGAGATAAGGTCTTTCCCTAGCCCGGGAGCAGTCCAAATTTGTTGGATACTGCTCGCAGATCTTTTGTACCGACAGAGAGAGGCGAACGCTAATGTTCTGGCAACGCTAATCCTTATTCCACCGGTTACTGTAAGACCAAAGTTATAGCGATGCAGAGATGATCCTTCGACTTTCTGTTATCGACCGAACCCACTTCCATTGATCCGTGGTGCCACATTTGCTTAAGCTTCATCCTCAATATAAGGATGCTTTTGTGGGACAAAGTAAATGACAACCCTACCCTAAACCTTCAATATCTCCGTTCAGAGGGAAGGCTCTGCTGATTCTAAAAGCAGATTCAAGGTCTTAAGAAGGCGTCTTCTGGTGTGACTGTCTCACCACAGATGGCCTCTTCGAGCTAGGATCCTTACCTAGTTAGATAGTTTGATGAAATCATGGACAGGTACAGGGGTTGTGGTAGGAGGTAGTTTTTCTCTAGTGTCAAGCTGTAGCATCGTAGGCACTGGCGAGCATTTCCTAGCTAGTTGCCTCATCAATTGATTGGGTCTTGCTACAAACGCTGCGCACATGAGAACGCTTCCAACGTCTCTTTGGCCGCGCTTGCTACTACTCGGAGCTAACTGTATACACCTGTGGAAGGGCACTACCGCAGTGGCTCAGTTTGGCGACGGGTGGGAAGAGGGGGGGGGGCATAATTCATTTTTGCGTTTTTGCTGCTTCGCTAGTTCCGGTTTTCAGGTCTCTGGTGAGATATGTGAACTCTGGTCGAGCTGGAGCAAGGTTGTTGAGCCACCACTCTAAACATCTCTTTGATCGCTCATGGAATAGCTCTCTATATAGCCCGACCTTGCGATGGGAAGAAGAAAAAAAAATGCCAAAAATACCAAGAGGACCAGGAGGTTGGTGTGCAAAATACGCCGAACTGCGCCGACAGTACCTAGAAATCAGAGCTTGCGGCAGCCACTGACAACAACGTCATTGTTCTCCGATTTGCCGGCACTGTGCTTGCTCCACATCTGTAGGACACTGCTTGGTGATACCCCAGCCCAGTAGGTTTAGTGTGGTAGTTCGGGAGTTTTCGAAGAAAAATTCGTTGGTTCCAAAGCAAAAGAAGTGTAGTTGATGGGGGGAGGGATGGGGAGGGAGGAGGGGAGCCTGGGTCACATGGCGGCACGATGAGGGAATACTTCCCCCTTCTTCCTTCAACTTCGCAGACCAGAGCTCCCGCATGAACCGCATGACACTGATTGTAGGATTACATTACATTTTTCTAAGAAGCAGTATATAGTATCTCGAGGTTGCGCGGGGGCACGCTGTCATATTCTCTGCGGACGCTGGTGCGTATCGGGTTACGAGTCGCCAACGTGTTCTGCATCAATTGCGGTTGTCTGTCAGCTTCCATGATTGGCGGGAAACAAGCTGACGCCGCATTGAACCCGCCCCCTCCCCCCCCACCTGATCTCAGTGTATTTGTTAAACGGCTACGGCCACCAGTGTGAGGGGTCCCATTCCAGGGTTAGCACAATAATAATAAGATATACATGTTGCAATCATCGCAATCAGATGGGGAGGTGTGAGAAGGGCGGGATGAGCTTGCCTCCGGTTGCTTTGCACAACCAATGGTGATCGCTGAGTGAGGATTTGTTAAGAAAATAACCAGTGGTAGAAAAGCTGCGGGGTCAGTCCAACCCTTTTGGAGCCAGCCCAACTGATTGCGATGATAGTAAATGTATATTTGTTAGAACCGTCAGTAATAGTGCAGCCGGTCTTAAGATATCTGCCAACCGCAGAGCCTCCCTTCTCGTTTTTTCCTTTACTCCTTTTTCCGTTTGCTTCTTTGCCTTCTTTCAAAGATTCAGCTTAACAACGCAATGAGGAAATGTCTCTGGACTCTCCAAGCAAGAGAAATTCTGGTTGACAGATGTCCTAGAACCGGCTCAACCTACCTGCTATCAATCTATGGAATTTTGTTTCAATTATGGATTACTTACCAGCCACCTTTTCCGATGCTTGATGGCATAACCGCGTCGGATATCCGCGTACATGCTTCCACGATCCTTTTTCGCGACGAAATACGGCATAACATGACCGCCCTTTTTGACGCATTTTCTCAATTTTTTCTTCAGAAACATTCGAACCTCTCTCGCCATATCCATCTTGGTGTGATAGCAATTGCAATATGCACTATGAAGCTTCGACATCTTCTATGTCGACAATTCAACGAACCTGAAAACATCCTTATGACATCCAGTACCTGTAAACGGTGTAGGGCTAAATAGTGCGCGACAGGGGCTAAAAGTACTGCGCGATGCACGGCATCGCCCAAAATATTTCAGAAATGAAGGGAATTCCCAATTTTTCCAATGAACGCCGCTCCTTGATCATAGAAAAATCCTAAACTTCCCAGAAATTGCCCTACAAAGAGCCCTTTCCGATCTGGGTTGTGCGACTCGATTGGCGTCTAAACGATACTGTAGCAATCAATAGATCACGGCAGAACCCGAAATGCCGTCCGAGTGGGCATCGTGAGACTGTATTCGAAAGAGTTCTGAGAATTTAGGCCATGGGACTCGAAAGACGCCGGACACTGTAGCTACCTATACCTATCTGACATGGATCGCTGCGGGACCCCAAGGCGATCTGTGTGGGCTGTCCTTGAGCCGAATGAGATACCCGAAGACACACTGCCTCGGAGGAATCAGGCGTACAGACGGAAAGGGTTTCTCCTAATTCAAGACGTTTTTGAAATCAGAAAAACTGCAAATTTAAATATTACCTTGGTACGACGTTTTCTACTTCTTACACCGTTGGAAAGACTAGCTATTTTCCAGAAATTTCCCTGAGAAGAAACCCTTTTCAAAGTGATCTGTGCGACTTTAGTGACGCCCAAAAGATACAGCAATCAATAGAACGTGGCAGAGCCCGAATGCCGTCTGAGTGGGCATCGTATATACGGAATCCAAAGAAACCTGAGAATTTAGGCCATGGGACTCGAAAGACGCTCAGAGGACGCTGTAGCTACCTATACCTATCTGGCATGGATCGCTGCGGGACCCCAAGGCGATCTGTGTGGGCTATCCTTGAGCCGGTTGCAATATCCAAAGCCGCACTACCTCGGAGAAATCAGACGGAAAAGGTTTTTCCTGATTCAAGACCTTTTTGAACCAAAAAAATTGTAAGTTCGAATATTACCCTAGTAGAAAGTTGTGCAGATCCTACACTGTTGGAGAGACCTACTTTTCCCAGAAATTTCCCCTACAAAAAGATCTTTTCGACCTGGGTTGTGCGACTTGATTAGCGCCCAAACGGTACCGTAGTAATCAATAGATCACGGCAGAACCCGAAAGCCGTCTGAGTGGGCATTGTGAGACTGCATTCGAAAGAGTTCTGAGAATTTAGGCCATGGGACTCGAAAGACGCCCAGAGGACGCTGTAGCTACCTATACCTATCTGACATGGATCGCTGCGGGACCCCAAGGCGATCTGTGTGGGCTGTCCTTGAGCCGACTGAAACGCTTGGAAAGGCACTGCGTTGGAGGAATCAGACGGTGAGGTTTCCTCGATTCGAATTTTTGTACTCGGAAAAATTATAGTTTTGAATATTACCTTAGAACAACGTTTCGTACTCCACACACTGCTGAAAGCGACACTTCAATTCATAAGTGAAATCGCAACTGGCTTACTACATAGGCTATTCATATAACTAATGGCATTCGATGAGCACGCGGATTTCAGAGTCATCCCTTCTTTTGCAGAAAATATAAAAAAATTATCATGTCATCCATATGTTGACAATCTCATGAGTTTGGTGCAAATGTGCAGGATGAGCAGGTCTATCTACTTCAAGCACCAGTAAACCAGAACAAAGGCAGCGGATATTTGCCCTTAACAGAAGATTCTACTGAAGTTAAAATTTCAATAACTTTGCAAAGACAACTACTAAACTAATCGCTTTTTAGTAGCTCCGACCATGTGAGCAATTTGACGCGCATTCATTTGTGCATACCGTTAAGGGGTGCACGCGACATTTCACTTGCACGGGCTTGCGGGATTCGCGGCGTTCGATCCAGCATTCGTGACCTGCCTTACTGATCTGCGATTTCATCCAGTCTCGATCTGACTTGTCACTTCTTAATTTCCGCCTATTCCATGTTCAGTGACCACCTTTGCTCCATTGCCGAGGATATCTCTTGCACGGGACAACTCGTCCAGATCACTCAGATCTTGATTGATGTGGTTGATCGACCTAAATCTTTACCTCGGTCAGATATAAGGTAGTGGAAAAACTCTAAAAATAGCCCAGAAGCGGACGCAAGTACTTGATCCGATCTTGAACCGGTAATCGACTCACCGTCCACGTACGCATACTGATGCAGGTCGATCAGATCCGTCAAACAAGGTGCCGGGTGATTTGGACGAGTTGTTCGTCTCAAGAAATAAAGGTGGCAACCATGGCCAACGCACCCCAGTAGACTATGACTGCTGGCAAGATGCTGGGCGATCTGGACGAGTTGTCCGGCTAAAGTAATAGCTGTGGTCACTACGGCTGACACGACTGTTGACAGCTCCGCCAATCACACTCACCCACTGCGCTGCATCCCTGTCACTAAACTAAATCAATATGGATTTACATAACCTACAAATAAGGAAAAGTTGTTTGTAGAACAGACTGTGCAGTTGAATAGCAATGGGCAATATCGCAGCAGTATTGAGTTTCTGGGAGGACGCTTTACTTCAGCAAGAGCCTCGATTCGGGATCTTATCCCTTTCGGGCAGGGTGCTATTCGCTAAACCACCGAAGCCATATGTTTCCTTTTGATAGAACGCAGACATGCGAACAACGCGCGAATTGAATAAGCCGCACGATTTTGAATGAATATGGAGTGCTGCCGTAAAAAGGGTTTGATAAGCGGTGGAAGCTTCGACCTCTGAGCTTTATATTTTGTTTCTATTGATTCACTGGTAACAACCCGCACAACACCTGTACGCTCGGAAATTTCGTTTCGCAAGAATCCGGCGATCTTTGCGGAGAATTTTGAATAACAGAGTGTGTTCCATACTTTGCATTTGTGCACCAACTCTAGTCCTTAGACTACTGCAGTTTCTCACTCTAATAAACGTGCCTAAGCTTTTGCTCTGTGGTAGATTTTGCTACTGCACTAAAAAAAATATCTGAACTGAGGGTGATTGCAGTCCATGTAGGCTAGTCCGCTCTACTGTGCTCTGCGAGGCGAGACCGTGCGCGTTGACTCCTTCTCCGCGTGTCTGAGGCTAGTAGGGTAGGGAACGCGCGCCGCCGGTAATCCCTCCCCTCCCACCTATTGACTACCTAGTGCTCTAATTAGCCTCCTACCTTTGCCAAATGTTGTTGAACGCTTGAAATATGTTACATGCTGAATGTGGATGACTGACCAGGAGAGCTTGGGCGGCGTTCATGCTTTGCAGCAGCGTCCACCAGTGTCTACCAGTGTCCACCTCTGTTCCGAAGTACAGACCATGGAGAGCTAAGAGGGTGACAAACAGCTGGATGCTGGACACAGACACCGGAAAAGCTGCGGCGTGTGCAACCGCACCGCACAACTGCTAAAGCACAGAATTATGCAATTAATGTACGGTGTAGTGTAGTTGTACGGTGCGGTTGCACACGCCGCAATTTCACGACGCCTAATCCAGCTGTTTGCTACCCTCCTACTTCCCCATACTCTCTACTCCCGGTCGCTGGTGAAAGCTGGTATATGATGATTCGCTAGATTGTTATCTATACTTTTCTAGACGCTGATGGTGCTGGACGCTCGGAACTCTAGTGTTTGGAAGACGCTGGTAGGCGCTGATGGACGCTGCCGCAAAGTATGAACGCAGCCTTTGTGTCGACCACCCGTTTGCACTGAAGGCTACACCGATGGGTGCTGCTTAAGGGGCTGAGCACAAACACCAAAGAACCAGAAGTTGATTGGTCTTGTTTGTTTGTGAAACAAGACCAATCAACTATCAAAAAAATATTCCTGTACCAAATACGAGCCACCCTCTCCCTGCTACCCAATACCACTGCTCCTCTGTTGTGGAATCTCCAGCGATGATATGACCCGACTGTACTTCTGCGGCGCTGGCAACTAGGGAGGAATATGACAGGAAACGGGAAAAACCTGGAAAAGATAGCAATAGGAAAAATCCTCTGCGAAATACAGAAATTCTTCTCGAAGTCAGTATGGTAGTAGAGATGTATGGTAGGGTAGACAAAAACTGCTTCGATATCAAGCTCTGAAGAAGGCGATTGTGCCGTAAAGTCAAGCTAGTAAAGCTGAGTTAACAATCTCGTATGAAGTCCAAGCGAGACACCTTCCCATTAGCACAATGCCGTAGCTTATGGAGATCCGTACATGGCTCTCCTCAAAGGCAAGTACGATTCCTACATACACGTTCGATGTTAACGAAGTGTTCATCTTTGGGGTTCTTTGGTGTTTGTGCTCAGCCCCTGTGCTGAGTAAATAATACTAACTTACCTCACTTTTCTGGCGTTCAGGAAGCAGAATAACAGCTTGAATAAAAAATAAATAGCGGCGATCAGCTGATTGCGCGAGCCGGCTATTGCGGGGCAGAGCGCAGAGAGGAAGAGTACGCTGAGAGGCCCGGCCGCTGTCGCGTCCCAGCAAAAGTACGCAATTACGGCTGGCCAATCGGAGGGATCACGACTGTAGCTCTCCATGGTCTGTACTTCGGAACAGAGGTGGACAGTGGTAGACACTGGTGGACGCTGCTGCAAAGTATGAACGCCGCCCAAGCTCTCCTGGTCAGTCATCCACATTCAGCATGTAACATATTTCAAGCGTTCAACAACATTTGGCAAAGGTAGGAGGCTAATTAGAGCACTAGGTAGTCAATAGGTGGGAGGGGAGGGATTACCGGCGGCGCGCGTTCCCTACCCTACTAGCCTCAGACACGCGGAGAAGCAGTCAACGCGCACGGTCTCGCCTCGCAGAGCACAGTAGAGCGGACTAGCCTACATGGACTGCAATCACCCTCAGTTCAGATATTTAGAGCACTAGGTAGTCAATAGGTGGGAGGGGAGGGATTACCGGCGGCGCGCGTTCCCTACCCTACTAGCCTCAGACACGCGGAGAAGCAGTCAACGCGCACGGTCTCGCCTCGCAGAGCACAGTAGAGCGGACTAGCCTACATGGACTGCAATCACCCTCAGTTCAGATATTTTTTTAGTGCAGTAGCAAAATCTACCACAGAGGGAGCAAAAGCTTAGGCACGTTTATTAGAGTGAGAAACTGCAGTAGTCTAAGGACTAGAGTTGGTGCACAAATGCAAAGTGTGAACACACTCTGTTGTTCGAAATCTTCCCAAAGAACTCAACCAGTGAATCAACAGAAACAAAATATAAAGCCCAGAGGTCGAAGCTTCCACCGCTTATCAAACCCTTTTTACGGCAGCACTCCATATTCATTCAAAATCGTGCGGCTTATTGAATTCGCGCGTTGTTCTGCATCGTCTGCGTTCTATCAAAAGGAAACATATGGCTTCGGTATTTCAGCGAATAGCACCCTGCCCGGAAGAGATAAGATCCCGAATCGAGGCTCTTGCTGAAGTAAAACGTTCTCCCAGAAATTCAATACTGCTGCGATATTGCCCATTGCTATTCAACTGCACATTCTGTTCTACAAACAACTTTCCCTTATTTGTAGGTTATGTAAATCCATATTGATTTAGTTTAGTGACAGGGATGCAGCGCAACGGGTGAGTGTGATTGGCGGAGATGTCAACAGTCGTGTTAGCCGTAGTGACCGTTAGCCGTAGTGACCACAGCTATTACTTGAGCCGGACAACTCGTCCAGATCGCCCAGCATCTTGTCAGCAGTCATAGTCTACTGGGGTGCGTTGGCCACAGTTGCCTCCTTTATTTCTTGAGCCGGACAACTCGTCCAAATCACCCGGCACCTTCTTTGACGGAACTGATCGACCTGCATCAGTCGAATGCATACGTGGACGGTGAGTTGAATACCGGTTCAAGATCGGATCAAGTACTTGCGTCCACTTCTGAGCTATTTTTCGAGTTTTTCCACTACCTTATATCTGACCGAGGTAAAGATTTAGGTCGATCAACCACATCAATCAAGATCTGAGTGATCTGGACGAGTTGTCCCGTGCAAGAGATATCCTCGGCAATGGAGCAAAGGTGGTCACTGAACATGGAAATAGGCGGAAATTAAGAAGTGACAAGTCAGATCGAGACTGGATGAAAGCGCAGATCAGTAAGGCGCGTCACGAATGCTGGATCGATTGCCGCGAATCCCGCAAGCCCGTGCAAGTGAAATGTCGCGTGCACCCTTAACGGTATGCACAAATGAATGCGCGTCAAATTGCTCACATGGTCGGAGCTACTAAAAAGCGATTAGTTTAGTAGTTGTCTTTGCAGAGTAACGAAATTTTAACTTCAATAGAATCTCCCGTTTGAGGCAAATATCCGCTGCCTTTGTTCTGGTTTACTGGTGCTTGAAGTAGATAGACCTGCTCATACTGCACATTTGCACCAAACTCATGAGATTGTCAATATATGGATGACATGATAATCTTTTTTTTACATTTTCTGCATAAGAAGGGATGACTCTGAAATCCGCGTGCTCATCGAATGCCATATAGTTATATGATCAGCCTATGTAGTAAGCCGGTTGCGATTTCACTTATAAATTGAAATGTCGCTTCCAGCAGTGTGTGGAGTACGAAACGTTCTTCTAGGGTAATATTCAAAACTATAATTTTTCCGAGTACAAAAATTCGAATCGAGGAAACCTCACCGTCTGATTCCTCCAACGCAGTGCCTTTCCAAGCGTTTCAGTCGGCTCAAGGACAGCCCACACAGATCGCCTTGGGGTCCCGCAGCGATCCATGTCAGATAGGTATAGGTAGCTACAGCGTTCTCTGGGCGTCTTTCGAGTCCCATGGCCTAAATTCTCAGAACTCTTTGAATACAGTCTCACAATGCCCACTCAGACGGCTTTCGGGTTCTGCCGTGATCTATTGATTACTACAGTATCGTTTGGGCGTCAATCGAGTCGCACAACCCAAGGTCGAAAAGGTCTTTTTGTAGGGAAATTTCTGGGAAAAGTAGGTCTTTCCAACAGTGTAGGATCTGCAGAACTTTCTACGGGTAATAAAATTTGCAATTTTTTTGGTTCAAACACAGATCGCCTTTGGGGTCCCGCAGCGATCCATGTCAGATAGGTATAGGTAGCTACAGCGTCTCTGGGCGTCTTTCGAGTCCCATGGCCTAAATTCTCAGAACTCTTTCTGAATGCAGTATTACGATGCCCACTCAGACGGCTTTCGGGTTCTGCCGTGATCTATTGATTGCTACAGTATCGTTTAGGCGTCAATCAAGTCGCACAACCCAGATCGAAAAGTCTTTTTGTAGGGAATTACTGTGAGTAGGTCTTTCCAATAGTGTAGGAAGTGCAGAACTTTCTGCTAGCGTAATGTTCGAATTTGCAATTTCCACATTCAAAAACTTCTTGAATCCCTTTCCGTCTGATTCCTCCGAGGCAGTGCGTCCTTGAGTATTCAGTCGGCTCAAGGACAGCCCACACAGATCGCCTTGGGGTCCCGCAGCGATCCATGTCAGATAGGTATAGGTAGCTACAGCGTCCTCTGGCGTCTTTCGAGTCCCATGGCCTAAATTCTCAGAACTCTTTTGAATGCAGTATTACGATGCCCACTCAGACGGCTTTCGGGTTCTGCCGTGATCTATTGATTGCTACAGTATCGTTTAGGCGTCAATCAAGTCGCACAACCCAGATCGAAAGGTGTCTCTTCGTGGGAAGTTGCTGGAAAGTTTAGGATTTTTTTATGATCAAGGAGAAGCGTTTACTGGGAAATAAAATTCCCGCACATTCCTGAAATATTTTGGACTATGCCGTGCATCGTGAAGTACTTTTAGCCCCTGTGGCGCACTAGTCCGCCCTAAACCGTTCACAGGTACTCGGTATCATAAGGATGTTTTCAGGTTCGTTGGATTGTCGACATAGAAGATGCCGAAGCTTCATAGTGCATATTGCAATTGCTATCACACCAAGATGGATATGGCGAGGGAGGTTCGAATGTTTCTGAAGAAAAAATTGAGAAAATGCGTCAAAAAGGGCGGTCATGTTATGCCGTATTTCGTCGCGAAAAAGGATCGTGGAAGCATGTACGCGGATATCCGACGCGGTTATGCCATCTAAGTATCGGAAAAGGTGGCTGGTAAGTAATCCATAATTGAAACAAAATTCCATAGATTGATAGCAGGTAGGTGGAGCCGGTTCTAGGACATCTGTCAACCAGAATTTCTCTCGCTTGGAGAGTCCAGGGACATTTTCTCATTGCGTTGTTGAGCTGAATTTTTGAAAGAAGGCAAAGAAGCAAACGGAAAAAGGAGTAAAGGAAAAAACGAGAAGGGAGGCTCTGCGGTTGGCAGATATCTTAAGACCGGCTGCACTATTACTGGCGGTTCTAACAAATATACATTTACTATCATCGCAATCAGTTGGGCTGGCTCCAAAGAGGGTTGGACTGACCCCGCAGCGTTTCTACCACTGGTTGTTTTCTTAACAAATCCTCACTCAGCGATCACCACTGGTTGTGCAAAGCAACCGGAGGCAAGCTCATCCCGCCCTTCTCACACCTCCCCATCTGACTGCGATGATTGCAACATGTATATCTTATTATTATTGTGCTAACCCTGGAATGGGACCCCTCACACTGGTGGCCGTAGCCGTTTAACAAATACACTGAGATGAGGTGGGAGGGGGTGGTTCAGTGCGGCGTCAGCTTGTTTCCCGCCAATCATGGAAGCTGACAGACAACCGCAATTGATGGAGAACACGTTGGCGCCTCGTCAAACCCAGCGCACCCGATACGCACCAGCGTCCGCAGAGAATATGACTGCATGGCCCCCGCGCAACCTCGCGACACTATATACTGCCGTTCTCAGAAAAATGTAATGTAATCCCAAAGGCAGTGACATGCGGGAGCTCTCGTCTGCCACCAAAGAAGAAAGAGAAGGTGTCTCTTCTTTGTGCCGCCGTGTGACCGCACTCCCTTCCCCCCAATAAACTACAGTCACCTTTTTATTTGTAAAAGCAATGGATTTTCCATCAAAAACTCCCGAGCGACCACACTAAACCTACTAGGCGGGATCTCACCGAGTAGCAATCTAGCAGAGGCGGAGCTAGTACACTGCGTCGGCAAATCGGAGAACAATGGCGCTGTGGTCAGTGGCTGTTTCTCATCGTGAAGCTGGCGCACTCGCACGACGGTCGCCAGCTGCCGCAAGCTCTAATTTTTAGGTACTGTCGGCGCAGTTCGGCGACGGGAAGGGCGTATTTTGCACATTGTCTTCTTCCCATCGCAGTGTCGAGCTATATAGAGAGCTATTCCATGAGCGTACAAGAGTTGACATGTTTTATAATGGTGGCTCAACAACCTTGCTCCAGCTCGACCAGAGTTCACATATTTCACCAGAGACCTGAAAACCGGAACTAGCGAAGCAGCAAAAACGCAAAAATGAAAAATGCCCCCCCCCCTCTTCCCACCCGTAACCGAACTGAGCCGGTAGTCTCCTTCCACAGGTACAGTTAGCTCCGAGTAGTAGCAAGCGCGGCCAAAGAGACGTTGGAAGCGTTCTCATGTGCGCAGCGTTTGTAGCAAGACCCAATCAATTGATGAGGCAACTAGCTAGGAAATGCTCGCCAGTGCCTACGATGCTACAACTTGAAACTAGCGCAAAACTACCTCTGAAGAGGCCGTCTGTAGTAAGACCACCACAAGACGCCTTTTTAAGACCTTGAATCTGCTTTTAGAATCAGCAGCGTATTCCCTCTGAACGGAGATATTGAAGGTTTAGGAGTAGGGTTGTCATTTACTTTGTCCCACAAAAGCATCCTTATATTGAGGATGAAGCTTAAGCAAATGTGGCACCACGGATCAATGGAAGTGGGTTCGGTCGATAACAGAAAGTCGAAGGATCATCTCTGCATCGCTATAACTTTGGTCTTACAGTAACCGGTGGAATAAGGATTAGCGTTGCCAGAACATTAGCGTTCGCCTCTATCTGTCGGTACAAAAGATCTGCGAGCAGTATGCAACAAATTTGGACTGCTCCCGGGCCATTAAAAGACCTTATCTTGTTAGGGCATGTAGCTCACGCCACCAATACTTTTGCGATAAACGAATGCTATGACGTGTTCAAGAGCTCAAACTACCCCAGAAGCAAGTGGTAACTAGATGTCATAGACAAACTGTACACTGAAGACTGTTCCTTGCCATGTGTGGGGAGAATGGGTCCGGAGCTACCGTAGCTTGCCACTTTCTCCAGTCAAAGTGCACGGATGGTAATGATACACAGTGCCGTCTCCATGCTCCAGCCTTGTTACTGCACGGCTTGCTACAAGCCCAACCATAGCAAAACCCATACTTGTTTGCGCTTTCTCACCTGTTATTGTTTTCTACCGCTGAGTGCGTCTTCCGCTGCGGGACCTTGGTTCGACACAAATGCGGCACCTTGAGGATAGCTCGGGCGAAGTACGGAGGTGGAATAGGAGTACCACTACCCTACAGCCCCATTCCCGTTCACTTCTGAGCGGAGAAAGGGGTACGCTATTGCAGCTGCGGACCCACACCTGATACAGATACTGCTTTCTTTTCTAGATACGTGGATTACTGCTAAATTAGTCCCAAGGTTGAGGTCTCCATGCTAGGATAACCTAGTACTGGGCTGGAGCCAACACCACCCACGAACATTCATTCACGTTCTTCGCAACTAGAAGAAACATTCAGAAAGGGGTGGGAACTCGCTGTCAGGAGTAATTTGAGCCCCTGAACACGAAGATGACACGATTTTGGCATGGAATGATTGTGGGGGCGCGACAGACCTTGGCATCGACGCGCCCATGCCATAGCAAGACAACCTTGTTAAAAGGCTTCATAAAGCCCCTTCAGAGGGAAGCTCGGCAGATTTTGAGAGCAGATTTGAGATTAGCGCTAAGGAATGCTGGAGGGTGTAGATTTCAAACAGCCATTTCGATACCGTGGGCATTCTCTAGAAAGATAATCGATTTCAGGCCTAATTCCTAGACCTGTTTTGTGTTGTAATTTTGTAACGAACATTTGTTCAACACCCCATAATTTTGTTGCTTTAGAAGAAAAGAGCCATTATGGAAATGGATGAAGCGGAAGACGTGGATCAGCGAATGGATTTTGGAGACAAAATGGAAATTGTTTATGGAGGTTTGGAGCGGAATGAAGGATGAACTTGAGAAAGATATAATCGCGATGGATCAAAAAATAGAGGAAATCGAGCGGATGGAAGTAGGAGACGAAATAGATCAGTCGCAATATGAGAAAAAGCAGCAGGAGGTCGAAAGGGGACTAGAGGAGAAGCATGAAGCCGTGTTGGAAGCGATTTCAATTATAGAAGCTATGAACGAGGTGGAGAGACTGCGAGAAAGGGTGCGAAAATTTAGATTTGCCATACAATGTGAAACTCTTCTTGAGAAGCATTTTGAGACGATTCAGCAACAGGAGGTATCGGAAAGTACAAGCCAGAACGGGGAAGACGGAGTGGAGCCGATGCCACTTAGGTTGGGATGGCATCGTGAGGAGTCATTCTCCAAAGAATTGTATCATAATCAGGAAGTTGAGGCGAAAATGAATCCGAAAAATGAGGAAGTATTTGAAAATCAGGAGAACCAATGTCATAAGCAGGAAGTCGAGAAGGAAGTTAATCCAAAAAATGAGGATGTGTTAGAAAATCGCAAGAACCAAGAGGACCAGGAGGTTGGTAAAAAGGCTAGACGAAGACGGAGACGTGGCGAAGGAAGCTGATCAGAAGCAAGAGGTCGAGAACGAAATGGATCAAAAGCAAGCATCTGAAGAAGGATTGCGGCTGAGGGCACTGTTGAATCCTGAGGGCGCGGTTACTCGGGAACGTGTTTCATACGCAGTTAGTTGAGGAGAAAATGAGTTCAAGAAATGAAGAAATACCCAAAAATCAGGTGGACCAAGTGAACCAAGAAGTTGGTAAAAAGGCTAGACGAAGACGGAGACGTGGGAAGGAAGTGGATCAGAAGCAAGAGGTCGAGAACGAAATGGATCAAAAGCAAGCATCTGAAGAAGGATTGCGGCTGAGGGCACTGTTGAATCCTGAGGGCGCGGTTACTCGGGAACGTGTTTCATACGCAGTTAGTTGAGGAGAAAATGAGTTCAAGAAATGAAGAAATACCCAAAATCAGGTGGACCAAGTGAACCAAGAAGTTGGTAAAAAGGCTAGACGAAGACGGAGACGTGGGAAGGAAGCGGATCACCAGCAAGAGGTCGAGAACGAAATAGCTCAAGAGCAAGAATTGGGAGAAGAAATAGTTGTGAGCCGAGAGTTTTACGTATCCGTAAATAAGCGCAAAGGGAGACAAGTATCAGATGGACCGAGAGGAGCGCTCGTAATTCGCATCAAAAAGCGACACATCGAAACACAGACTGAGAATTCCGAACGTGATATGGTAAGTATCTTGAGTTGTTTAATTACCTAAACGTTTTTTGATACACCTTTTTGCACGTTTACGAGTAAATTCTACACGACTTGAGTTCTTTTTTTCTCGCTGGTTGGGCTGTCACCTTTTTTCTCCATCTCTTTCACGTTCACCGTAGGTCATTACAAGAGTAGTCTTGCCCCTAGGAGGTTGGAGCGCTTCCTTCTCGGAACATTCCCGGGCATGCCCCATCACGTGTATTTTGAGAGCCTGAACGGAGCCAAGCAGCGCGGCTGTAGTATTGCCACTGGTGCGGTCTTCACCAAAGCAAACAATGTCTCCTTCGAGACTTATCGATGTCCTGCCCTTGTCTACGGATGTCCCTCTGTGAGCTCCGTTACCACATTGATTACATTTTTAACAAGTCGTAGGTAACTCACTCACAGGTGGTACTCTACCCTTGAAAAGGCCTGTTTCCCAACTTCCCCATATTTCCCACTTCCGGATGGGGGGGGGGGTCACGATTAGACATGGCACTTCTGCACCAGCTCCTATGTATCTTGGCAGCTTACATCGAGGTTAGGCGGTCAAATACAGTAGATATCGTCGCAATCCGTCGGAGCGGTTCAATAAGGGATGGAATGAGCCTAGCCGTGGCGTTTCCACCACTGGTTGTTTTCTTCGTGAATGGATCACTCACCGATCACTATTGGTGGAGCTAGACAGCCGGAGGCGGGCTCATTACGCTTCCTTTTGCACCGCCTCAATTGCGATGTTATCATCTATAAGTGATGCTGGACGTAGGCCACCAAGGCACAATTGATTTCCGCCTATGCCACGACTTGGATTGCCACGACTTGGATGTCATGAACATTTGTCGCTTCCAGCCATTATCCACCATCTGTCTGCGAATCTGGGCTTCAAAAAACGGAGCGCTTAGGTCGCAATTGCAATCTCCATTCCGGGAGACGGTGTCATGCCCAGGTGTGGACAAGGAACGTTGGCATCGGCGGGGTGCACCCGGGTCACGCCAGAACGCGGGGTTATAAGGGCCCGCACCCTCCTACAAGGGGACGTCGCGCCGTTGTGTGTCCCAAGGGTCCTGCCGCGGGCTGAGTGAGGCCTGCCCCTTGCTAAGTGGATGACAACCATGTACCTACTCACTATAACTACTCTGACAAGACACCATTACCTTCAATAACTTCATATAGAAGAACACTATATGATAACATCGACAAAATCATTGTAATCCAATAACACATATGAGAAATGGCTAATCGATATTAATATGTACAACAAATTGATAATGAGGAAGTCATACCTGTGGATGAAGATGAGGATGGGAAGAATGGAGGCAGTTGATCAGCAGTGACAGGAAAAGACCACGGACGAAGGTTGAACAGGGACAAGGAATGGTGGCGCTGGTCCACCGGTTGCACGACCGCTCATCATGAGCGCAGGACGACGACTGATTTGAAAAGTGATGACAATAGTACTGTGTGCGCGGTTCCCCGCGATCATGCTTTTCGTAGTAGGACCGACTGCAGTGCAACCCGAGCGCGGTATCCTCCCGGCGCCCCATTAGCCCCCAGGGACGGTCGTGCGACAGTCACGACACTCCGGGCGCCAGAAAAATTGCCCTGGTGTGTGACCACGACGAATAATGAGCGAAAAAAAGGGGGGCCTGTCACGTACTGATCATAGACATGAGATACAGTGGGCAAAAATAATCTACAACAACAACAAATATATGCAATTTCTTCAGAGCGCATCGAGTAAATATGTGAGGCCTTAAGGGTCCTCAAAAACAAATAAAAATCAGTTATCAAGAAAACTTCATAAATGAGTAGAGTAAGTGAGGTAATGAAGATAAGAGATAGTAAAGCAAAGCACAAAAATGTAATCACTGACTGCATCTGCAACTGACTGCCTTCGTGATCGCGTACCGATCGTAATCCAACTGACCATCGAAGCATTCCAACTGGCCATCGAATAAAGCAGGTGGAGCCAATAGACCGTAATCGACGAAGTTGATACGGCGGTTGTTGTTGACTTTGAAAAGGGACCTACGGGTTTGCAAAAGTGCGAGAGGGAGATTTTTTGTCTCGCATTAGCCAATTTGGCAGGGGGGTGAAAACTCCCGAGGGGGGATTAGACAAAAGCAGCGATCTCCCAGCGCTGTGGGGTGGATGAGGGTATACCCAGACCAAACCGAAGGGGCCTTCCCGGAGAGTGGCGGTCGTCGACATTGTGAAAGACTAGGCGTATTCGTTTATGACTTTGGATGACGAATGTAGTAGTTTTCGTAGAGGACATACATAGCTTTGAAGAATGTCTTCACGTCCGGTCCAATATCGCGAACGAGAAAGTAACTGTAAGGACAGAGTGCTGGGTGATGTTCATCCGAATCGCAAACACGGCAAGGCGTATCGCGTCTGCAGTAGCCTGGCGCGTGGACGTAAAGACAGTAAAGGCATCTCCCAACAGAAACTAATTTTGTAGCTCGATCCGTGAGACTCTTAATGGTAGTGCAGTTTGCAGTATAATGATTAGCCTCACAGAAGAAACATACGATTGACGGATCGATAGCTCCGCTCTCCCTGTGGCGATTGTCTGCGAGGAGGAGAGCGAGGAGCCGGTGACCTACGTCTCTGACGCGTATCGGACTGCCTCGAAGGTGAACGACGATCCTCACTTCTGCGAAAGATGCGGGATGGTCCTCTGGAGCTGCGATCCTGAGAAGGTGAACGACGAGTCGCGACTCTGCGAACAGTACGGACGGACCTCCTTGAACTTGAGCTTGGAGATTTCGAACGGGCTGAACTGGACGGCGAATGATGGGGACTGACCGAGACAATTACCTTCTGTTGCTGAGGTGACGTGGACTTTCCGGTCGTCGTGACAGAGGTAGACGAACGAATCTGCAGCGTAGTGGACGTAGTGGTTGAGACAGAAGTGGGTTTGCTCGTGGAGGACTGGGACGGTTTGGGAGTGGAAGACTGAGACATGGGCTCAACAGTGGGCTGCGTGGTGGGCTTCGTAGGATCCCTTGTGAGCGCTTGAAGCTCTTCGCTGGTTGGAATGTCGACCGTTTCCGCAGGCAGTGAAGACTCTAGGG